CCCCAACAGCTCTGTGTTCAAGGAGTGTYGGAGGCACCGCGTGTGGGGAGCACAAAAGAGGGGGCTCAGCAGTGCTGAGATAAAGCATCATCCCCCAGGGAGGAAAAACAGAAGGAATTTGAAAATATCGCCAGGAAGAAGTGCTGTAATTTTCGCAAATCTGGATGAATGGCAGGTGATAAAGAAAATGGTAGCGGAATGGATAATAAAGGGAATAGGTAGGGTGGTGTAGAGAAAAAAAAAAAAATAGAAATACAACACTGGCCGTGTTAAGGGCAAAGACGCCGAAGAAGATTGGAAATATATGGTTTGGAGAGGACAGATGGAGAAAGGTGCATCGCAGTGTAATTGTTATAAAGGAGCTAAACCAGGTGATCGGGAATGTCTGAGGTGTTAACGGGCCATTGGAGCTTCGTGAGGATCCCACTGAGAACAAAAAAAAAAAAAAAAAAGAAAAGCTGAGAGTCAAGAGAACTTGGGAAGAGGAAGCTGTGCTGGAGAAGGAAGAGTCACTGGCGGCTGTGGGATCGGGTATGCGGTGATGGGAAATGTCACATCAGCCTGGCTTAACCAAGAGCCGTTCCCCCGGAACTGGGATTAGCGGGCAAAATTACAGGGAGTCTCCGGGATTTTATGTTATTCCTGTCTCGGTACTGAAACACGGCGCACTAAACACTGGGCGGTGCCGGTTCGGGTGACACTTGTGCAGAGCTCATCTCGCTGTGGAACAGGAAAAGGAGGAAAAGGCTTTAGAATTCCACGCGGTGCTGTAAGCCCAGGCTCAGGGKAGGAGGGAGTAATGATGGATAAAGCAACGAGAACTCGTCAGGGTAACTGCTGAGCGCAAGCACTCCCTGACTAATCCTGGCTCCACCCCGGCAGCTCTCGGATAGCATCACCAGGTAAATGTGGAGAACACGAGGTGCAAAATGAATCAGCAGCGGAGCCGGGAATAGCGTGGGAGTCCCGCGGGGTTTGTGTTTGATCTGGGAGCTGCCGGCACAGGAGCTGGGGGCCGCAGGCTGCTCATAAAGCCCTGGCTTTGCTCCCTTTCGGGGCTGGGTGGGCAGCTGGGTTCAGCTCCTGCTGGAGCCCCTTCATCCCGTGTGCGACAAAGTGCCGGGGGCTTGGGCTCCCCTGGGCCTGAATGCTGCAGATCCAGCGGTCCGGGACATTTCCAGGGTGTTTTATGCACCTTTAATTTGGCATGGAAATGGTTACTCTCAGTTCTTGGTTCCAGCCATGGATAAGCTGCCTGGGAGCCCCTCGGGGCTGTGACTCCCAATCCTGTCGGTGCTGTTGCCAAAGATGAGAACCGGAGATTTCTCTCATTTTCAGATATTACAGAGGAAGGTGTGGGAGAGAACAGCGTTAGCAGCCCTAGAGGAAAAAGTCACAAGGAGAAATATCGGGCAGCAATTCCCGAAGAGCAGGAAAATGCCCTATAAATTCCCCTACAGTAACATCCCGGCGGATCACACTCGATAGCTCAGGAGGCGATGCGAGCTGCTTTCCCTGCAGTTATCTGAGAAAACAGAGCAGCCCCTGAGCGCTCCCGGCTGGGCCGGGCTTTGTCCGAGGCAGATTGACCCAAACTGCTCCATTTGCGGGCGGAACTGCATTGACGCCAAAACAATTCCCTGTTTYTCGCAAGTTTTAGTCTCTTCCACACGTGGATGTGCACTGGAAAATAAAGCGGACTTTAAGTCCTGTAGGAATCAATATTTTTGAATAAGAAATAATTCGGCCCCTGAGGTGTATGCACAGAGAGTCAGTCCAGTGGAAGTGAGGCACAAATGGCAAAGCCTTTGTGYTCCGGGAAGGACAGATTCCAGGGAAGAGCGGGCAGGATTCCACCATCTCCTCTGGTTTGCTCCAGGTTTGTGTCTGGCTGTGAAGAGCAGCCTCGGGCAGGCGAGCAAAGCTGAAGATCGGTGAAATTCCCGGGCAGAGCCCCGCTCTGAGCTCTCACCCTCACCTCTGCACATTCTGAGCATCCCTCTGGGCTGAACAATCCCACGGGAGGGATTGATCCAAATGTGCCTGCAGAGGCACAGGCACCGCCATCGGCGCTTGGGAAGGGGGTTCATTTGAAAAACAAAGTTCACTGCAGCACTGATTCTTCTTCCAGATTCGTAGCTGGCTCCCAAGGGCGGCATCTCAGCGAGCAGTGCCTTTGTAAGAGGTGTCTGATCTCCATTCCAGCCTCAGCCAGTGTCATTGTGGGGTTTGCCATCCAGTGAGGGTGTGTCCAGAGACAGAAAAGGGAACACGGAATTTGGGAGGAACTTTGAGTGATTCGGGTATTTGAAGAACATAAGGTAATGCATTCAGAAGTTTGGTATTTTGGAAGATTAACTTTAAAAATTAGAGAAAATTATCTCCTCATTTGATGGACATATGGAGGTGCAGCAGTTTTCTGTTGGCTTGTAGGATCCTGGCCCAAAGGCTTTCAGCGTGCTGCAATGTGCTCTGGTTCTCCTGTCATCACCAGTCCAATGTTTTCCTGGGCATTTAGCCCTTCCAGCTGTGTTTATGAGGCAATTTAAATTTTGATATTTTAAAGAGTGGCCATAAAATGCCGTTTCTGGCATGCAATTACATCTGGAGTTTGAAAAATATCAAGTGCCTGTTTCACCTGATTGAAGCAGTTAATTCCAGTTTTTGGCTGGCAATAAAACCCTCAGTGGAGAGATCTTTTCCCTTCAGTCCCGAGTTGGTCGTTCAGGGTAAYGTTCACAATGTGCTGAGGGTTTTCAGATGTTCAAGAAGGAATAGTTGCAGCTCCAATACAGACAAACATAACTGGGGAGCAGCATTCAGGTATTTGCCTATTCTCATTCTGAAATGGAAGCTAAAAGAGGACTGCTGGCAGCAAATGAGAAGCTGGACTTTTAAAATTATTCATTATATCTGAAGCAGAAAACCTTTTCATGGAGATGAAGAATGCTCTGCCAATTCCCCACTCTTTACTCATGAAATTATTATTTTTTTTAAATATCACAGTTATTCTGGCTTTTAAGGCTGGATCAGCCTCTTCAAAAGGAGAGGATGTAGCTGTGGGGGATTGACTGAATAGGCAGCAGATTTCTTGTTGTAAACTCTTCACCTCATCTGTTGTCTGCGATGACAATTCTCGAGCTCCCAAGGCTGCTGGACAGGCAGGACTGCCTGGATTTTCCAGCCCTGTCCCACAGCAGATGTTTGTTTCAGGTTAATCCTTCAAGAAGGGAGCCCCGGTCTGTAATTCAGTGCATTTACTGCTGCTCACCTTAGAGCAATTCAAAGCACTGTGAACTTTCTCAAACATTCAATTGTAGAATTATTAATGGTCATTTCTYGCTGTGTGTTACTGTGCCATCATCCTGAGTTCACAGAGAGATCTCCTCCCCTTGAGACAGCCCAGAGAACGTTCCTGTCCCTTCACAGCCTTTCCTTCTCAGGCTGGGCAAGGCTTTGAGTCCTTTCCATTTCTGCACAGGGAATTCACCCTTCTGCTCCAGGGATGGTCCCTGTGCTCAGCCTGTGGAATGGTGTAATGTCACCTGGTATTTAATGGAAATATCCTCTGCAGAATAACCCAGCAGCTCTTATTTCCTTTTCCACAGGCACCTCATGCTGCTGGTTTGTATTTAAGTTGTCATTAACCAGCAGCAGGTCTTTCTCCTCCAGTGCCATTCTGTACTAATGAACTCCCAGCTTGCAGCTGAAATTTTGGGCAGTTTTCTGAGTGTGCTGCTTTGTGGCATTAAAATGAATACAAATACTGTCACAGCAGGCCTCTGACTTTCCTTACTCTGTGTAATACATTTTCTGCTTCCATAATTTGTTTCTTAAGTCATACATTTTATTAGCCACTCCTACATTTCTGCCAAGGTTATTAATTAAAATACTGAATAAGATCCATCACTGCTTTCGGCGCTAACCTTTGATGCAAACCAGGTTTATCTCTTAAACCTTGTTCCTTAATTTACTGTTTGAAGCATAATCCCTTGTTCCCTTGAGATGACCAACTTTATTCTCATTTAAAGGGCATTTAGTCTGAAGGGTGAGCTCAGCTGAGCCCTGGGATTGCATTAGAGCTTGTCCCTCCCTAATTACCATTCCAAAAATAGAGTAATAGTCACTAAAGRCACGTATTGTCCAGTGGTTTGTGCGTTAACCTGGACTGGGGGAAAAAAAAAGCTGGGCTCAGTTCCTGTTCTGCCACAGTGACGTTTAACAATTAATTGGTCTTGGTTTTACTTGCTCCATTATGGACAGAAATGCTGTTTTGGGGAGACACTGCTCCTGTTCTGCTGTGACATAAGCACATTTGGTTATGCCTCAAATTCGAGCAAACAGAAGACAGGAAATGCCAGGTTTAGGTTCAGTTTTTGTCCTCTGTGGACACATTTTTGTCTTTCAAGTTCCCTTTTAGCTTTCAAAATTGAAGGCAGCCTTACACAGTGTTTCCAGCACTTCATCATTACTTTAAAATTTGATGTTTGCCAACTTTTAATTTAATTTCTTTATAGGTTAACATTCCCTCAGCCATAGCATTGAATCATGGGTAGCCAGCATTTCATTTATATATGAAATACATACCCTTTTAAAAATAATGCCCATAACTTGTCTTTCAATTGAAAGCCAATAGGGCAGCTCAAGTAACGTGTCCTACAGCATCTGGAGCTGGTTTAGCAGCTCTCCCGAAGTTATTATGAATAAACATTCATTTGAAGGCAGCAGGTGTGTGCCCTGCTTTTACGTGCGAGCTAAGCTCTTTCCTGTAGTGCTTTAGTTTGAATTCCCACCCTTATTACTGTTCTCATTTCCACCTTTTCAGAAAACTCCTTTTCCTCTCTTCCACCCCTCAYCTCTTCTGGGAGAAAGAGAAAACATCCTGAGAAAAATCGTTGCCTCCAGATTCTAGGCTTGACAGTGAGAAGTTAATGCTGACAGCAGAGCCAGGGCTGCCACACTCCCCGAGCTCGCTGTCCTTGTCACCTCCCTTCCCAAATCCCCGAGGAACAACCACACCTTGATCCCACACAGCTGGAAAGCTCCTACCTTGGTGTAGCTCTGTCAGATGTGGGGAGGAGGAGATCTTCAGGAGCAGCTCACTTCACCCATGTCTGTGTTCTGTGTGTGTGGAAGGAGCCCCTGCCATGGCCCTGGCGCTGCTCTCAGCTCTGCACTGTGTGTGTCAGGGCTGTCATTAGCCCAGTTTGCCACAGCCCCTGCTCACACCTGCTCTGCCACTAAAGGAATGTTGTGGGACAGCCTTGCACCACAGCTTGTTTTTGTTGGATTGTTGGTTTTGGTTTTTTTTTTCCCTAATATCCCAGAAATTTTTCCTTTGTGCCGAGCTAAACGCTGATGAAGCAGCACAAGGATAACCTGAGAGCAGTGGAGAGAAGTGTAAATCCACACCCATTGTGCTTCTCTACAGGAAAACAGTGATAAAAATCCCCAGGTACAGGTGTATCAAGCATTCTGATATTTTATAATTGAAATCAATATATATAATTTTATAATTACTCACTTTAGCTTTCTGATCAATGAAGTGTGCTTAGATTAACAAAGATCTCTGCACGGGCTGGTGACCATTGATATTTCAGCTGGGATCTTCCTGGTAACTGGGACTGTGGCTAAACTGGACTTTTTGTTGAATGGATGCTGTGCAGGGTGGCCAGATCCCCACCCAGATGCTCTTATTCTCCTCCTCAACATCAAAAATAAGATGGAAATGCCCTTCAGGGGAGGTGAAGTCGGGAAGATCACCAGTTACCATCCCAGGCAAAGCAGCCCTGGACTTGGGGAAAACTGAGTGAATTCATTGCCGATTAAAATATATTTGAAAGGTGAGAAACAGAGACAAAACRGCTCCTGGGCAGCTCAAGTCTTCCTCAAGGATGGGCTGCTGCAATGCAGGAAGCCCCTGACCTTGGAAAGTCAGCATTGCACAGTAATTAGCAAAATATTACTTTGTGTTTCCCAATACAGCAGGGAAACTGCCCATGGATAAAGGAAGAAGAGAGGGAGGAGTTGTGCATTCCAAGTTTTCACGCCCCTTGTGTCAGCACAGCTTGGAAACTCTCAAAACAGAGATTTTTTTGTTGTTGTTAATGGATGTTTTGGTGGGTTTGGGTGCTGTTGATGGTGACAGCACATCACCTGCCTCTCCTCCAGACCCGAGGGCACTTACTCAGATTTTCCTCACTGCCCAAGTGTAGCTCAGCACTTTGTGCACTGCTCTCACACATCACCACAGGAGCTGCACTCACCTCACAAGAGCCACATCTCCAGGCTAAAGGATGGCCACACTAACTGTGGCTGATCCCACTTCTGCCTTTCAAATTTCTGCTCTTCCACAGGTTTCTGTGATATTGGGCAAGTTATTCACTCCTCTGTGTTCTCTCAACGTAAAGGAAAATAATAGAATGATCATAATGGCTTCATTTTAATAGAAATGTTAAAATGCTGCTTTATTGAAACTTTATTGAAACTTTATTGAAACTTTATTCAATACTTTATTCACTATTCAATACAATCCAAACTCTTATTCTCAATAAGATAGACCTTATTTTGACAATATTTTCTTAGGAAAGACTGCATTTTCATACTGCAACACACTTCCTTGAAGAGGTGCTTTAAGGTGTAGTGGAAACACASTATTGAAGAAAGAAACGGGAGATGTGTCAGAATGGTGATATCTGTAGAAAAAAAAAATGGATTCAAGGATAGTCCTTTTATGTATTTATGTATCAGGGAGTCGTTGTGACAGAAAAGGCTCCTTGGTTTGGGGATGGGTGTCTTGCCTTTGCTATTCAAGGAAAAGAACAGAAGTGATGGAACTATGAGTGCACCCAAAAGCAGTCAAGCACAAGAAATTCTGGAAATTCTGGAGTGACTGAAGTGCTGAAATATTCCCAGAGCCTGAATTCTCAGCAGGTGCTGCCAAGCTGAGCCTCGGGAAAGCTCCCTGGCTGGAGCTTTGCAGTGTCAGGAGGCAGTGCCGGCTCTGTGCCCACGCTCCAAGTGGTCCTGGGTGCTCTGTCACCTTTGTCACCTTTGTGACAATGGGTCCAGACCCTCCTGCCCCTGCCCAAGGTATCTTTGTCCCTGTGGTGTTCCCCTGCTGACCTCACCGTGGTTCTCCAGCCCACGGGGGAAGTGAGTGGTTTCAAACCTGGCTTTGTTTCCCAATCCTAATTACAGCCTTTGCTCCAGGGGGAACAATGAGGGACTGGGGAGATGGGATCAGGCCCCTGCATATCATGGATGCTATCAGAGACAAATAGGGGTGCAGTAATCAGTGTTGATTAGTCCATCGAGTGATGATTGCTCTTCCTATCGTCATCAAGAAATAGCCCCTTGCTGCCTGTAGGAGCTGCTCACAATTATTGGTGGTTTCTCTCTCGTTTTTGCTCAAAGCCTCTCATGGGATGGGAAAATGGGATTCAGAATTTTGCTGGTTTTTTCTGTGTGGTTGGTAGCCTTGTCTCTAACTGTGGGTGTTGTACTGTGGAGTTGGGATCAGAAGGATCTTGGTGTGGGATAGAGACTGTGAATCCTCACCTGGGGATGTGCAGAGCTGTTGGTGCAGCCAGAGCCGTGGTGATACCAAGCCCTGCATCTCCCTGGGAGGGAAATCTGCCCCTGGGGTGGAATCCAGAACCCTGAGGGTGGAATGGGGCACAGGGGGAGTTTTTGTGGCTCTCCATTGATTTTAAGGGGGCCTCAGACACCTGGCTCATGCTGTGCTCCTGACTGGTAGGTAGATGAAACTGATGTAATTCTCTCTTTGCTCCCTTTTAAACATTCATAAGCCCTTTGAAGCGTGACTGGCTCTTTCTTGCTGTTTTGTGTTCAGGTCTAGCCCAGCTGACTGAAACCTCTGTCAAAGCACAACAAAAGTAAAGTTGAATTGAGATCTCATTACAGATAACTCATATTTTGATATAGCTCTCTGCTGCTGGAAAACCAACAATGAGTAAAGGCCCTTTGCTAAGAGAGCTTGGAGAAAAATCTGAACCATTTCTCCAGTTACAGAAAGCAGACACCTTGTGCACACAATTCTGCCCCTGTTGTTTGCAGCCAGAGGTACCTAAGATGGAAATGTTTCCTAATTCAGGAAATTCAGTGAATATCCCTGCTATTGTCTGCCATAAACAGACACTGCAGGTATAAAAAATTCCTTTCCCAATTCAAATGCYAGTTCACTGTAGCTGAACACAGCTCCTGTTCTGTKYTGAACTTGCCTGTCCTGTTTGGGAYCTGAGTGCAGCATTTTCTTGGATCACTGATTACACAAGGAGCATGAGAGTGACTCAAATGTGAAACACCATTCTTCCCAGATAAAATCTACAGATGAGTTCCTTTAATGTGCAAAGTAAATATTTGAGTGACACGTGGCACAGAGCTCAGAGCAGAAACCACTTCTGGGCAGTGCTTTCCACAGGAGGAATTACCTCCAATGGGACAAGTTGGGCAGTGGCTTTTTTTAAGCAATTTGCTCATTGAAGTAAGATGGAAAGAGAACCAGCAGTACATCATGCAATCTGAAAAATCACTGTACCCTCTGCAGCTCATCTGATCTGAGACCCCAGCCATTGGTTAGTTTTGTTAGTCATGGGTTTTCCATTTTTTTTTTCTTAATATATATAAATTTCTAAAATTTCTAATATAAAAAACTTTCTGAAAGCTCTGAGCTTGGTGTCATAAGATGGTTATAACAGCCATGAGGTCTTACTCAGGGATGATGTGAGGCACAAAACTCTTAACAGTTTAATTCAAAATTCATCATTGAATCAAGGGGAAATGTGTGAATGTTCCCCTTGTTTTGCAATCCTTTATTAAAAAATATTTTATTGTTTTCTATTTTAATTTTGGATGTTGGAAAAAATCCACAATCCTAACTAGGTATCCGAGTGTTTTTGAAACAATACATGGGAAAGGTCAGTGAGAAGGTTTCAACATTTATCTAATTTTTAAATTTTTGCTGGGTTGGAGTACCGTGGCTGTTAATGGTTTTCAGGAGGGGACTCTGTCCTGTTAGATGAMAACTCCTCACATTCACAACAAATTCTGCTTTCCTGCCAATCCATCCCTTTAGGGGATTAGACACACAGACTGGAGAAAAAACAGGGAATTGTGAAATTTCATACAGGGAGGACAAGGGCTGCTCTGCTGACTGAGCGTGGTGCTGGCCCAGGTGGGCTGTGCTCAGCATGTCCAAGAGCTGTAACATTTTCTCCTGGAATTAAAGGGTTTTCTGATTTTTCTAACGATGGGAATCAACAGGATTGCCACCCACATGATGACTAAAGCACTTTATAGACCRTCGTGGAAGGAAGAGGAATGGACCCTTAACCCTCAGGGTAATTTGGGAAGTTCATTATGCAGAGCCAGGTAATTAACTCCAGTGGTGAGGGCTGAGATGCTGCAAAGAGATGATCTCTGGGGCTGGTTTGCAACTCAGGGATGGTTCTGATGTAACAGACAGTATGTGGTCAGATGCCTGAATTATTGTGAATTACACACCTTGGTGCAGCCAGAAGGATAAGGATCTCAGGATTTCAACYGTCCCCAGAACTCTATTTTGTTTTAATTATAAAAGTGGACAACGTGGAAATGTTAAACACAGTTTAAACAGTCCAAGAATATCTGTTTCTGTGCAAAGACTTGTCGCAAGTACAATCAAAATGTTTTAAAAGTGACTTTTCCCAGGGGATCCTGCCACACACACACCGAGGGCTCTCCAGGCTGGCAGCACGAGGTCCAAGGATGTAAAAGCACAAAAACACAGACTTCCAGTGCCTGATCCCTCGAGAGAGAGGGGACCAAGTCCCTGCAGCCTGAGGGTCTGAGGTAAGGGAGCTGCTGCACAGGTCCAGCCTGAGGCTCTGGAGTCCCCTAATTAACTGGGGCAGTAATTAATCTTAGTCCCAGCATGGGGCCCTGCCCTGGCAAATACAACTTTTGTTAATTTTGAGCATCCATAGTTTATGAGAGTAGATGGATTTTTTTTTTTATGTTTGTTTGTTTGCTTTGGGTTTTTTAGGTTTCCCAAGTTTAATGTTAGCTGGTCCTGCAAAGAGCAGGAGTTGGATTTGATGATCCTTATAGGTCCCTTCCAAMCTGAGATATTTTCTGATTCTTCTGGAAGCAAACCAAAATAATCTGAAAATGATTCTTGTTTTATATTTCTTTCCAAGAGMATTAATGAAA